ATTATGGACTGTTAATGACTTTATATTAAATCCATCAACAAAAAGTGTAAACAAAAATAATACGCATTTTAATCATTTAACACCACAAAAACGTAATAGTTTGCAAGCAGACAATAGTTTTCCTGTATTGTACAGTTTTTTAATCAGCTCATTAACTTTATTAACGACCATATCTATTATAATATTTATATTTTCGTTTAGTGATTAAATATACTCGTTAATGCCTTGAAAAATCATCAACTATCACTATATTAATTGCACGTGTGCAATGAGAACTCCTCCAAGCAATTAAAACTCCACAACTACCAATCACAATTAAAAATCATCAAAATTGTTTAAGTAAGTCACATTAAAAAAGACCCCACCACGGTATTTCCAGTCAATCATGAAACATGAACAAAAATGTACAATACATATTACGCATTAACTACATATAAACAATGAATGAATAAAACTAAATTGGTAAATTAAACGATTTGACATTAGTTGACTAGCAGAACAACATAAAATATTAAAAAAGAGTCCATTGAATGTGTAACACGTAAAACATTCGTTTTTTCACGAATGTAAAAAATTTAACATCAGTTGTGTTTACCCGTTCTAAAAAGTACGCCAGCAAAACGTTTTGAGTCAGAAGTGACTTGTTTTTTTTTACTTTTCAACATTTATACATGTACTACTCTCTCTCCTGTCTTTAAATTTTGCGGGAAGTAATTTTTTCTTGGCTTTGAAAGCTTCTTCAAATATTTCATCCGGAATTTACACACCTATTGCGAACATTTCTTTATTCTGTAAGTCACTATGGTGATGATAAGTACACAATGCAATGATCACCAAAATAAGTATGATTAAGAAGCAATACGATGTCATCAAAAGTATGTCTCTAATGGTAAAGATGTGATTAAATTTTTCAAACTTAAAATTTCAGGGCAACAAAATAATATTGAACGTAACATATGGATAATTGTATTGCACTCGTGGGAAATAAGAAAACTCGATATTGTCGCTCATTTTCTTAATCATATCACTCGCACAATTATACCACTTATTAATTACTATAATGATAGAGGTGGAGAAAAAATTCTGTTCTAATCCTGCATTGAAAAAACAATGCATTTGATGCCTACACAATCCAAAATACTACATAGGCCTATCTATAACAAATTTGATGTAAAGGTTAATCACATTAATTTTATGAATTATTAATTTATTCCTTCATTCAACTTAGCAAAATATTACTTCGAAATATGACCAATGCAAACAAAGTTCTGGTGTTTAGAGATAAAGGGTATATTCTTCCCCAACCAGAAGATATTCCCCTAGATTGAAATAATAATTTGATAAATGGTAGGTGCCATATCGAAAGTCGTGTCAAAAGTGACAAATCTTTATTATTATCATCGTGAATTTTCCGTATACAGCAACGGAATGCAAAGCAAAAACAAATATTAGTGGTGTTTTCTGACTCTATAATGACAAAGTGATATGGATCAAATAACGAAATAAGTAAAGTATTGCTTTCGATTAAGAAGGCTAAATAAATCCAATGATCTCAATCAACACGAATGAATTTTGAATGATTACCACACCAGAATAAAAATAAATTCGTTGAATAAGAGACACAAAAAGTAATTCGTAAAAAGAATATAGAGAAGGGATGTTGGCACATAGGCGGCCAAATTAATTCAAATTTGCTGCGACGTTTCCAGCTCACTCGTTTTGACAATCCTTTGAGGTATTTACGAAGAAAAGATCATACGTTTTGTAGTGCATTTAAGATAATATTAATTTGCCTCCAAAACTCCAGAATTCTCTCTCACAAGAAGCAAGAAAGGCAGTAGTGCCGTAGCGAACTCGGACCGAAGGATCACGGGTTCGAGTCCCGCCTCGGGCATGGTTGTATTGTGTTTCGTCCTTTCACCCCCTATCATCATCATTATCGTGTCAACCCACAGTTACCATACCGTTACAAGCAATAGTGGTCGCTAATGACCTAGTAGTTGATGCGACCTTAAGTGAAAAAAAAAAAGCAAGAGTTCACTTGGTATGAAACTCTTTGTAATAAACCAACTGATTTTAAAAATAACCGGTAGATCCTCCTGGTCTATAAGCGAAGATAATTTGTACATTGTAGTAATTTCCCGAAATCTTATTTTTTCCACATAAGATGCGACGAGATCGCATTCTTTGAGTATCTGGAGCCGCGAGCAGTTTCGTAGCGATAGTGTACAGAAGCTACGTAATACTCGTATTGGCAGCATTGAAAGTTGGTTTTCTACGATGGCAAGCATTCCTAGCTCGGCATGCAATCACCTTAAATCAGTGGTGGTAGCATATACATCCTCGCAATATTTATAACGGCTTCGCAATGTTATACTACTACATGAACCTGAAGAACTAGCTAGCAGCAAAACGTTCTCCGCGGCGAAATCGTAACTAAATATTTTGTGCCATCACGCCAGATTAGACTGCCACGCCACGAAATGAATGTCTCAAGTTTCGCCACGCTTTAATAAATAGTGGTTTTTAATCAATAATAATTATTTTTAACTTTTGAAATTTTTCCATTTTTGCATTTTTTTAAAAATTTGCAGAGTTCAATGAAAATTATACCAGTGGCATTTTTTATGTTTTTTCTCTTTAAATGGAAAAAAATAAGAAAATAATTGGAGTCGTTACTGAGGAAATTAAAAAAACATTACGATGTTATATTTGGCGCATCTCAACTAACTGTTTGAAAAGTCTCTGAACGTAAATCTCTGAATGCAAATAATCACGTGCCAATTTACAAAACATGTAGTTAACATATATTTTTTATTCGACAATTTTTATTCTTTAGATATAATGCATTTAAAATCGGAAGTGCATCATTATTAAGAAATACATAACTTTAACAGGAAATTAGAAAAAATGTAATATAACAATACGTTGAGAAAACTAACAAATTTCACAAATACGGTTTACAATTAGATACCAATACCGTATCATTTTGATTAAAATACTTGCAGTCATATTTTAGGTCTCAACTTTGATATACTACATCGCCAACATCTCAAATTAAATATTCCACTCCCAGCTTTCAAGTCAAATTAATGATCCCATATACGCCATCTGCATTAAAACATTTGAAGGGGAATGTACAAAAACACGATTGAAAGTAATAAATTTTAATTTAATTTGGGTTGCGAGATATTCCGAACATAAATATACAGACGGATGCTGCCGCCCTTGCACAATGGTCGTTCGTTTTGAGTCAACGGAATGTTCAACTCTAATGGGAGACGAACTTTTGTTCAACTTCACACACAAACACACACACGCAACTTCATCACACACCAACTGTACAACGTACGAACTTCACGCTATTGTGAGGTCGATGGATAGAAATAGGCCACGGAGCTCAATTCTTCCATCTATCTAATCACTTTTTACTTCAATTCTGAGTTCTATATCCAGTAAAGGAGTTACTATTTGGCATTATTTCAGCATGTCCCTTAATTTACACATTGAATGAATTTCAAATGCTTTAGAAGGATTTATCTTAAATTCTCTGAACTTTGACCCTATTATTATAATTGCATTCATGAGAATTTTACACACTTAGTATTTCAATTCTAGAATCCGTTTTAAAAATCCATTTGTTTGATTAGTAGTATTTTTTTATGAACTTAAATATTGCCTTTTCTTCTAAGTTGGGGATCATTGTAACGATGCCTGTGAGAGAAAGTGTGCGGGCCATTCTTTCGCGAGTGCGATTCAAAGTGGCCTATACTTTGATTTTTCCATAGCTGGCTGTGACGTGAATCAGCTGTTTCGGTGTCATTCAATCGGAAGATTGAACCCCACTGTAGTGAGGTGTAAGGTCACGATTGGATAGCACCGTAACAGCTGAAGAAGACGCTTTGAATAAATCGCAGTATATACTACGACTTATTTAGTCGTGCACTTGACGTAATTCAGCTGGGCACGGTTTCATCCAATCGGGAGCGCTGGCCGTCTCCATAGTGTCGCCACTGTAGCGACATCCAAGCTCCCGATTAAATGAAATCGCTACAGCTGATGTACGTCAAGTGCACGCCTAAATAAATCGTACCTTAGGTCGCCGTCGTTCCCGCCGCTCCTTCTGCGGTCAGAGGCGTCGGCCTCGCAGCCGCAGAGTAGCGGCGGGCACCGAAGCAGCAACCTCGCGAAGGACGTCCGAGCAACAGATCCAATATCCCTCCCGCCCCTCGAGCAGTGGGAAGGGGCGAAGCCGATCGGCTTTCACCAAGGGCACGGAAGGGCGGCCCCGGAGAGAGCACGCACTCTCTACGAACCTCTGTCCTGCAGGAAAGAAGGGCTCCTGCCAAACGATTTGAATCCAGTTGGCAAAAAAATGCGATTAAAACGTATTAGGGATAATTGTGAATATATACGATGACGTGTTTTACATTCGTTTTTCCTAATATTTCAATTGAAACTTACTTTTAAAACAAATTCCAATATTGTGCTCAAACCAAAAGAGCAGAAACCAATAGTATGTTTTAGTTCGAAAACAATTTGGTATGTAAATCCAAGATTTTTTTCCTTCCAATGAACTATTCAATATGCATTTGATCAGAAGATGAAATAACTTCGGTACCTCTAACAAATTAACAAATTGGTTGACCAATTGCTGCCCCAAAAACTGTGGGTTCCCGTAATTAAACGCAAGTCCATTACGTTTCATCTGCTTCTACACATTAGGAGTACCAAAACATGTTTTTCAAAATATATTACTCTATCTTCATTCAAGCACTTTTCATCAAAGAGTAGTTTTATACTGGCAACTTATTTCTTCAACTTACTTTTCGATGTGGTATTTCAACTATAAGCACATTTTAATCAAACCTTCAAAATATAAAATAATAACAATGCTCACTCAAGGTCAATCTGAGAATTGTCGCAGTAATGTACGAGTAAGTGCAATAAATCATTCATTCATTTCACCCAAATTACAGGTAATTGATATTGACACTTACCTTCCCCATTTGTGGCACTTAGTAATTGTGTTCGGGGACAATCTCTGCCGACAACGTAGAAGTTTCTGGTTCAACCACTCCTGTTCAATCCAGTAGTTCCGAACTAACAGATCTGAAAAAATATCGTAAAATGCATCGATTTAAAATCCGATTAATAGCCTTCGAATTCACTTCATGAAATCGGTGATTGCAATTTGAAAGTATACCTTCGTTTTTAACAACAAATCTACATTTTTTGAGATGATGAACGGATTCAAACAATCGTAAACATTCGTTACTGCACAGAAACTAGGTAATACACTTAACAGAGCCAGCTGCCTCAAAGCGCACCGTCCAGATCCACTCATAAACTGATGGAGACGCTTACAGTGGCGCGCTCTACCCTTGCGCCTCCTAAACTAAACGACAGACAGCTGACATTCTATTGAGATGGCACGCGAGTCAGGCATGGGATGGCGGGTGAAAAAAACTACGCTGGTATGGGCGCTCTATACAGCCACGTTTCATTTTCTTTTTATTTAATAGTTATTACATATACAAATAAAATAACTTAATACTATGTGGCTAGGCTGAAGGTCTTTGAGCCGTTACAATAACTATATCCTACCTTGTGCTAACCTTTCGAATTTATATTCATTCCAATGGAAATAATATTCAGCGACCAAGACTCGAAACAGCGATCTTCCTCTCCAAAGAGAAGAATACATAAACACCAATTAGCCACCTCGGACATCCGGGCATCATAAAATGGAATGGCTCTGGGCACGAACCTACTAATTACTCATTCACTGACAAGTGCTTCAACCATTGCGCTACAGAGACGTTTTCTTTAATACAGGAATTTCCCTGTCTTTTTTATTACATCAGCATACAACGTACATAACATAAACGTAACATAATATACAGCATACAACGTTATCATAACATAAACAGTTGTATATAAATGACTGGATGATCATTTACCTTAGAACATGAATTAAAATTTTGAAAAAAATAATTTATTAGATTTGTGTTATTTTATGTACAATTATAATTTTAAATTTTAACATATATAACCATTTATTATTACAAGTTTTGGAGCTTAACATGAGCAAATATTTAGTAATCACTTCTTTTTTTAAATCTGTGATCGACTGTGTCAATCAGACGCCGGTGTCTATCAATCAGGCTTTCGATCCCACTATAGACCCCTTGATCATCAATGACTGCTTTAATTTCATCGATATCGAGCCGCCATTGAGAACCATTGTTTTAATGTCCATTAATTATCATACGTAATACCAAGAGTGCTTTGGAAATTGGCGATAAATTTATTTGAGAATTTCCAAAGCACGAGTGATATTTAATAGGACTATTCCACAAATTAAATTAAGTTCAACAGGGGACCAAAATGCTCCAAATATTAAAAATAACTGAAAGTATGTTACAATCAAAGCGGTTGTTATAGTGCATACATGGTTTATTTCACGTAGACACAGCAATGGCCGCGTACCACACATAACGTCGTCTACGGAAGATGAGTCGCAGCTTATTATTGGCCGGTAGGGAGGAAACTCGGCCCGGTAGGTAAGAAACACTGGATAGAAAAGGCGATACAATTTTTTATATACACCCTGATTGGAGAATTTTATATGTATAGTTTAACATTATTGGTTTTAATTTTAAGAGTGGAATAGTCATAGCTAATTCCACACATGCACTGAAAATTTCCGATAAATTCTTGAGTTGCCTAGCGACGAGAGATATTACCTGGAAATTTCCAGTTTACGAGTGTTATTTTATAAGACGATATTACCTCCACGATTCAAAGTATCTCATTTTTTTCTGAATGCGTCAAATATTAAATATAATATGTTCGAACTCCAAGTGCAAATGGCAGAGCTTCCTATGATTGAAGTATCGCACCCTGTCAATTTTATTCAATTTTATTTCAATTCTATTCGTGTTAATTTTATGAGTAGAATAGTGATTACAAAAACTTGGTTCCCACATATTTCGTATTTCCTAAACTGCATTAAATTTAGTGTCATTCATTGTTGGCGATTATTACGTAAGGATATTCTGGTGGCCCTACCATTTCTGTTCTTGCTGTTCGTAATGCTGTCCACAGTTGCAATGGGGGTGTTTGTAGTATCTGCTATAGGTACTTGAAAAGAAGTTTGGAGATTGTCCCTTTTTCACTCTTAGTTCTGAGTTCCATTACTGCATTCGGTAGATGTAATATTTGAATAAAAACATCTGACTAATAATTTAAATATTGATTCACAGTACCTATTAAATGCAAATAAACATTAATATTCAATGGTTCAGTGGACATTGGTTCGTCCGGTGTTTTTTGGAAGTTAATTTGAATGAACGTTTATTGAGATATTGTTTTGAATTTTGGGGTATTGATTTTGAATATAATATAATCAATTGACTCAAAAGAAATTTGGCATATTTTGATGAACGATCCTGATCTTCAACGAATAATCCTAAGCGGAGACGTTTAATTTGCGCTCACACACAATGTTGTTTAGATTACCCAGCGATTGCTCATTTCACTAGCGTACTGAGCTTTTTTCGACAAGTAGTAACAACAATATTTTCTAAACATATTTGTTCACGAAACTTGAACGTTCACGAACGTAAGTTGTTGCGTTTAAACGTGAATTTTGATTTTGTTTCTGTTTTCTGCATTTCTGAAGTGCTAAACATGTTCAGGTAATAAAATGTGTATAACGTTTTATAATTATAATAATATTTGGCTCCATTATTAACAAATGTATTGTTATATTTATAGAAAATGTACATAGATTGTGAGCGAGTGAGTGAAAGAGTATGTGTGTGTGTGAGAGAGAGAGAGGGGGGGGGGAAGGAGACAGAGACAGACAGAGAGAGAGAGAGAGAGAGAGAGAGAGACAAAAAGACCGAGAGTCAGAGAGTGAAAGATAGAAACAGAGAGGGGCAGAGAGATTAAGAGAGAGGCAGATACACAAGGAGAAACAGAGAGATACACAGAGACAGAGACAAACAGAGACATAGAGAGAAACAGAGAGACATAGAGAGGAACATAGAGAGACAAAGGGATAGACACAAACAGAGAGAGAAAGAGAGAAGAAGATAGGGGACAGGGGGAGGAGGAGAGGGGAGAGGGGGAGTGGGTGGGTGGAGGCGAGGGAGAGAGAGAGATTGCAGAGAGGGTGGACACAAAATGGAAACTCTTGTGTTACGTATTTCTTTATTAACCGGGCGTTGTAGCACCTCTTGCCTTTAATCTTGGTACGAATTCATATACTCGTACACTTAATATTATTAAATGCAATGCAGACGGAGGAAGAGGAAATACGCTTCTTACTTTAGAACGTAAAATGGACCCCATCGGCTTAATAATGTTTAGCTCGGGTGATTGTGATGACTATGGAAAGAATTAAGGTTAGTTTCCATACTCTACAAACTATCTCTGAACAGCTCAGACTGTATAAATGAGACAGTACCATCTTGAATCCCTGCAACTTTGAAGAAAAACAAGTCGATACCACTGGGTGCAACTGCTACACTAAAATATTAACATAAACTTTAGTAATAAAAAAAATAATTAGAGCTCTATCATAATCGCCCAAACCAACACTACAATAACACATTGCCGTTCAAATATAACCTCTCCATATGTTACAGTGAAAATCAATCAATAAATCAATCAATCTGGGGCATATTATTTCTTTTTTAGAGTTCTCAACTCGTAAACTCGACTTGTTGGTAGCAATGCGAAAGATGACTCTTCATACCATATCAATTTCCTTCTCTTATCTGCTCTCTATAATTTATACTCCATTTACCATCCATTTCCCTGTAGAGCGTTGTCTTCAGAAATAAATGTTTTGGGTTTTCCAGCTCTACTATGCGAGTTGTCGTTTAAGTTGGAATACGCCCCTCTGAAGATGTTCATTGGCCTCTGTAATTTGCGCTGTGGCGCATTCACGGGTTTCTATGTTTCTTTTCGATATTCTAAGGTTCCCGTATATAAGTAGTGGTTTTGGACAACCATCCCTCTTACCTGATGCTGTCTTGCTATGATTTGTGTATGCCGTCTAAACATGCATTACTGTTCCCCTGGATACACTAAATAAAGTATGGTTAAAAATATATTTGGTCAGAGTATCATTTCACGATCATTAGCATTTAGTCTGAGTATATTGTTCGAACAATAAAAACAAGCTTAACTTCTCAGGAAGTTACAAGTACCTCATTTTAAATTGAGAATTACGTAGTGAACGGAGGAAAATAGGCAATTTTCAGTAATTCATAACCAATTTTTTTCATTTTTCTTATTCACAACTTCCTTATTCTATTGGGATTAATGTTCATTTATTTCACTATTCTCGATTTGCTATCTTTTTACGTAAGAATATTTTAATCAATTAAGCTTACTGAGCTCTTTAATTTATATATCATCTTTTCTGTATCGAGAACACGCACGCCATCATTCATTTGTGCTTCTTTCGCCGCCGTATACGCTGACTCTGCTTTCCTTCTAACTACCCCTCTGACGATCTACCTCCCCCACACATCGTCCCCCCCGCCTCTCGTCCCTTCCCCCCTGCAGGCCCCTTCCCACCACGTGACCTCGGCGCGCGCCCTCATTAACGACTCAAAACGCCGACGCTCGCTTGTTTTTAAAAAAGTTCGCAAATGAAGTGCGCAGTAGCGGTTGCCGCGCTTCCACTGCCATCGCCGCTGCAACAGCCATCGTCAACGCCACGCCAGCTTGCGCTCCCGGCTCCGTCGCTACTCGTAGATCAGAGCCAATGCGTAGGCACTCATGGCTCCGTTGCTGCTCGTGAAACCCATGTTTTCCCTCTTGTATAACAATAACTACAATTGTTGGTTATTCCATATTTGCCTGCGGATCCAACTGTTTCAGTTTTCAGTTTCGCGTGTACCTTCTAATTTGACGTCAATTTTGTCTGCTCCTCAATTCCACCACTTCTCTAGCCTTCTTCACCAACGCCCATTAACTTGTCACTCTCCCGCCATCACCTATTTCCGACAAATTCTTAACCGTCATGTATATAATCATTACATAATTTATTCAATGCCGTGTATCCGTCACCCTTTCCCAGTCAGCACTACCACCACAGCCACCATCACCTCCACTATCACATCGCGTCACGCCACCACCATCACACCACAACTACAATCACCACCGTTACCTTTATCACCTTTCCACAAGCGCCCTCGATCCGTCTACCTCATGTGTATTGCATTTACCCCCGCCGTCCCAAAGCGGTTTCCGCTCCATCGCCATCACCATTTCATTGCCTCTGCCGCTAACTGCGCCCAGCAGTGCTCGAGTGGCGCGGCCATTCCCCTTCCCCCTCCCTTCTCCACCTCCCCTCCGCTGCACCCACGCAGGGGTCAGATTTCAAGAGGGCGGAGGGAGGAGGGAGGGCGCGGCGAAAGAACACACGGGCGCCCTGCAACTGCTCTCTGTACGCCGCAACGCGGAGCCAACTCTCAGGTCGAGAGCGTACGCGGAGTTGCGCGAAACGCTCCACAGGAGGAAGTACGACCTTTGGAACCAACTCTCGGGTAGAATTGGAAGAATTTAAACGAGTGGCGGATCGTGTAGAGGTTTCCCAGAGCATGTGCACCCATATAAATCCGAATACGGGTTAATTAAACACACAAATATGATTATTCAGGCAGAGATAATAGAATAATATTATATTTTATTATTTATATATATTATTTATAATTACATATATATAATATAAAAAATAGAATATTTTAGGCTCTATTACTGAGTGGTCATTAGATTCTTTGTACTGATGAGAGAGATCATAAGCGGGGAGAAGGATACATACAACGACGTGTTCCCTTTGCAAGGGACTACGTATGCGCGATGAGAGTGACGTCTCACGGAGCATTAAAATTGGTGGAAAGGAGATAGCGGAGACAAACCCGACATTAAATAAGAAGGAACGGAGAAGAGAACGGGGAGTTCTTTACTTCAGAGAGGGCTTTCGCTGCGAATTTTTTTTTTAAGCAATTTAAATGCTTTTCATTTTGCAGCCATTTTCCTCTACCTATTTGCCTCTAGAAAATCACAAAAACTTCTTTGAACTCTGAATATTTTCCTAGTCGCTAGTACATAGATATGTATGAAATGCCCCACAGAAATAATCAGGCTTTGGAGTCAACTCCCGGAACAATTGAAACAAAATATTTCAAATATTAGTAAGAACACGAGTTGAAATGACAAGTACGCAGAATCTGCCGTATAGCTTGTAGAGGTTTCCATCTGTACCTATCTAATAAATCGAGGGAGTAGAAAAGAAATAAAAAGTGTTTACCAGAAAACAATGAGGAAATGGAGTTTATTCGAGAGAGGAAAATATGACTATCGGAGGCAAATAGAAAACGAGTTTTAAAATGGTTCAAGTCAAACGTACAAATGAGAAAATATCCATCATAGTGAGAAAACGCTGAAATAATATAAGTTCTTCAGAGAATACAAATACTAATAACTAAAAGTATAAACGTGAATAACGTTTCGTGTTAACAGGTAAGTGAATATCATGACCAACGTAGGGGAGAAGTTGTTCGGAAACACATACTAAGTGGCGAGATCAAATCACAAATGCCTAGAGATAGGCTGAAAAAGGGAAAGAAAGAAAGAAGAGAAGACCCGAAAACCCGTGATTTATTTCAGAAAAAAAAATCAACCCTCCAGCCCAAGGGAGGAAAGCCTGTTGATCTACCGGCGCCATATAGCGCGAAATGAGCGGCGGTTGCAGCCGCATAACGCAAGGTAGTACTTTGTAGGGAGCGGGCGATAGCAGGCACAATATGGAGGAAAGCGGAATATAAAGCGCGGAAGAGGCGTACGTTTGGGGCCGGGAGGGCGAGCGCGGGGGCGCGGAAGAGACGAGCTCAAAATTGCCGAGATAGCATGCGAGGGTCGCATGCGATGTTCGTTAGGCACCGACCTGCCAGAGGGTGCCGCCCCGCCTCGCCGCTTGGTGGCTCGGCTCGGAAGGGCGGATGCGCGCGGGAGAGAAATGTAGGGATTTTCAACACGCGGGCCAAAGAGCAAGGCACGAGTAAACGTCGGGGAGGATAGAAACCTCGACGGGGCGTTGTTGGAGACTGGATGATGTTCATACACTGTTGAAATTATTTCGGATTTGTGTACTTGAAAATCGTCTAGTTAGTTGAATTATGTATGAATTGCTGTATAAGTCGAGACTAAGGAGAAGTTTTTTTTTTTTAATTGAAGGCATTTGGAAATTAGGGTGTATTAATGACGTGTCATGTTAGAAAATCCCGAGACATATTTTTCACACGACTGTTAACCGCTTGGAAAGGCAGATGGGCGAGTGATACAAAAGAGGGAATTTTCAACTTGCAAGAAAAATGTGGAAAATGGGGAAGAGTAAGTATTTTAAATCTCGCCTAATAAATGTTCAAAATTGGCCGTAGGCCGCTGGTCATAGGCTGCTAAATAACAGCTTTCGCAATTATTTTGGAAATGAGTATTCGAAATTATTATGTGTTCTTCTTCTTCTTATTATTATTATTTTATATATTTATATTATTATGTTCACTTCTGGAGCGAAAAGTGAAATAATTACAATATTTTATTATAAAAAAATATGAATAAATAGCAAATGTTTTATGATTCCCATATTATAGCATAATCTCTACTATATTGTCAGGTGATCTAACGCAAATTATTACAATCAAATGTCGTAAAATTAAACCAAGAGTTTTTCAAGTTGATTGTAGTAACTGCAATTAGCCAATTTTTAAACATAAAACACATTTGCACTTTGTGACACTATCGAATTTGTGAATGATCAGATATGCGTGATTACTGCGCATGTAATAAATGTACTCTTCTTCTGAGGGCAGGTTTTCCCCTCCAGGGTTTTTTTCCTGAGCCGTACCTTATGGTCTGTTTTCCCCGGCTTTGATGCGATGGAGAGACCGTTTCGGATGAATACCAGATTTCGTCGAAATGTAAGAACACGGTAAGATGTAGGCGTTGTAATTTCAATATTTAAGGTATATATATATTCAATTTGTATATTCTAGGTCCACTAGTAAGTGTGTGGTAAAAATGCGAGTTTAGGCTTCCGCAGCCGGAGTCAGTATTTAATTGGCTGTCCGGGTGACGCCGCGTCCACGGCAAAGGTGCCGACGTTTCGGACGCCATTATGCGACCTTCCTCATTAGGAAGGTCGCAGAATGGCGACCGAAACGGCAGCACCTTTGCCATGAACGCGGCGTCACCTGGACAGCCAATTAAATAGTGTGGTGAAAAGTCAGTGAGCCAAGATCTAGACGCCACACGTCATGGATTATGCTTGTTGTGTAAGGGATATTTAGCAATCCACAAAAATGAGACATTCTCGTGAAATTATTGAATATATCACGACCCGTTCATGAATGAGTACAACAGTAGTTTGGATTCAGTAAAGCTGCAAGAGCTCGTACTTTCTCGCGTTAATTTTTTACCATTACCTAATATATTTGCACTAAAGCCAATGCCGTTCTCAAAAAGTTCCCACTATTTATTTATCGTGTTTACTTATTACATATTTAATGAATGGTGTGATTATTGGGAAGTCTATCCAATTTCTTTCGTTCCGAACGAAGAATTTTGAGCATGGTCGTCATCGGCATTCCTCAGTAAAGGGATTGCGTTGAAAGTAAGTATTTTGATGATTCAGACGACGCGTTGAGTAATGAGTAAAAAGATGTAGATTGAGAGATAGTGGAAACCGGAGAACTTTGACATAATCTGTCAGAAAACAACGTTTTCCACCTATATTGGACTGAGATTGAATCCCGACCCCATTGACGGTTGGCGAGCAGACTGACCTCGACACAAAGGGCCGCTCATAATTATTCATCAAATGATACACTTCCAATCCACATTTTACCTTTGAGGGATTTAGAATGAGATCTCTAAAATGTTTTAGTTTTAAGGAAATTTGTGACATCTATGACAATATAAGTACCAAAAAGATAAAATCAAAAGTCGCCAATGAAACGATCTGTAAATACTATGTTAAACATTTTTACGAAATGCTTTTACGCTAAGCGAATAGGCGAATAATAATTAACTGTACTGTGAGTGTTTTATAACTGAAAATTTAACTATCACTAAACTTTTCATAAAATTCTACATCAACAACACTTCAACTGTTGGTTTCGTAAATGTTCTCAGGGTTGCAGAAAAAAACTAGCAAAAAGCACCAAATATACAAATTCAGTTTACAAAAACGGCAGTAAAAAGACGTATAATTATAGAGGAAAAGGTGTGATTATGTTAGACTGTATGGACTTGTGCTAAACAATAGAATTCATATGCAAATGTCAGACTCAGAAGAGCAAAGTGTTTTTAGGCCAGGAAGATCCTGTATTGACCATATTTTCTATCTAAAACAACTTAAAGATAAAAAAGGGGTGAGGAAGGGAACTTAGTATAATTTTCATAGATCTCAAAAAGGTCTATGATAATGTACCAGTGAAAGAAGTATGGGGGCAATGGAAGAAAAGGAATATCAATAACATAAATAAATGCAGTCAGACAACTTTATAAAGATAACAGAAGTCGAGTAAAAGTGGGAAGAGTTCCCAGTAAATAAAGGATTACAATTCTGCAGTATATCTTCAACCCTGTTTAAGATGTACATTAATAAACCTCTAAACGAATAGAAAATAAAGTGTACAAGTATGGGTGCGAAGATAATGAAACAGTGCTTAGTCTACTATTTGTAGACGACAAGGTTATACTACATGAATATGAAGATGGTGTGACGTACATGTTTAGAAAATTTGTAGAGGAATACGGAAAACGGAAATAATGGTACAAAAGGTGTAGAGAAGGTATGCTTCATGATTTAGAGACTAGTATAGGAATAGTTAAGTGTAATAAACGATAAACGTATTTGGAATTCACATTAACAGCAGATAGTAGAAACGAGCAGGATGTGAAAAATAAAAATATAAAAAACAAATTGCACAAGGCAGTTGCATCTAGTGCTGTCTCGATTATTTCAATAAAGTCTGGACACTAACAAAAATATGACAAACTTCAAGAAAGAGAAATGATTTTCTGGTGAAAATGTTGTAAACTTTCTCTGTTAAGTAAAATAAGAAATGATGAAATAAGAAATAAAATGAAAGTGCAATCAATCTTTAACGAGACGATCGAAATTAAATAACTAAAATGATATTGATATGTATGAGAAGGTTGAAATCAGATAGAATTCCATAAAACGTTTGGGAATGGATACCCAATTGAAGAAGATAAAGGGGAAGGCCTCTTTGTTCAAAGTTCTTTCGTACGCACAAATTCTAGTACTTATCAACTTTGTTTCTTAAACTTAAAACTTTCAAACATTTTTAACTAGTCTTTTCGTTCCCTGTCAAGCAAATCTATCTTAAAAAGATAATTTCATCTTTCTATTTATAACTGCAATTCATGCCTTTTAGTCATGATCAATTTTCATGTTCATTTAGAATGATCAATAGTCTATAAAATTTTTGGCGTAGGGTTTCTTTATATTTTGGTTAGATTTCATTTAATTGTTCGGTTTGGTTTGAAAATAGGTTTTACCTGAAATCTCTATAGCAGCTCGCAACCTGCCGGCTGTGCGTTGGCTCTCCTTTCGGGAGCTGCCCGCACTCCCGCAGAGAGAGCGTCTGAGTGCTTGAAATAAAAGGGGGCATTTTTTTGCCTTGTGCTTTTGCGGCGGTCGAACCAAAGCGATGAAGAATAGAGAGACCAATCTGACGAGCTTGATCCACAAGCGCGCCATCAAATTGCATTTACGCATTGAAGTCCCTAAAGGCTCGCTTTTGGCGAACTAAAAAGAGAGACATGGTTAACGAAATAGATAAAGGCACGTGGTTGACGAAATAAGGAAAACATGTTTTGACGGCCGACTTCGGTGGCTCAGAGCATCCATTGATGTCACTGCGAAGGCTCTGATTGGGAGGTCCTAGGGTTTGAGTATCGATGGTGGCAGGATTTTTGACACCAGCCACGCAGCTAGGTGGAATGCAGTTGCTGTGTGGAGGAAAACTCTAGCGCCCGATTGCTCTGAACGGTAGTTTTCCCTGGTTTCTCCTTTCAACACCAGACGAATGCAGGAGCAGAACCCTAACAAACGAGTCACGGACCGTGCGCTATCTCTCCTTCCTCTTCCTTGTCCTATCCTCACCCCTTACTTACGCACACACACTAACACGCGTAACACTATCACACACGTCAGGTGACCAGTCGGGTGCTTAGAGTTTGTCCGGGCTAGGACGGTACCCTGCTGGGGGAGATACTAGGTTGGAGGAAAACTTGCAAGAGGATGTGTATGTTGGCGTCGGATTTCGCCATTCAGAAGGGAAAATTTCCTGAAACTTTCCGGGATAAAAATATTCCCTACACATACGGGTTAATAACTTAAGGAGTTGAGGTGCCCGGAATTATTAATCAATCAAACAATTTATAGCTGACGGAATAAAGTAAGTCGTATGATGGCGGAAATAAATACTGCAAATCACTGGCGGCCAATAGAATAAATAGTTCTTGTACAAGTATCCTATTAGTCCGGTAAGCAACATCAACACTGACGTCGTCTGCAAAAGCTTACATTGTCTAATAAAACAGGACTTTGCCTATAACCCCAAAACCTCTTCTCAGGCTGGCTGCATTCCAACATTTCGTGAGTAGGGCGCCGGGGAGCGTGGGAACGCGCGAAATAAAACTGACAATTTTCGCCGCATGAGGGCGCCGCTGCGGTGGCCACAGCCGGTGGCGCCTATCGATTGCGCTCGGCCCAATTAGCGGCGCGACGGCGGCGGTGGCGCACCCACGCACCAGCGGCTGCTGCACCCATGCAACGGGCGGTCCCAGCGCCACGTTCCGACGCGTTGAGGCATCAGCGTACTAGCGTATTGTACGATTTAAATATAGTCACCTGTGACAGACCAGCGGTTATCCACTCGGGAGCTTCGATACCGAAAAATTAAAACTGTTACGATGCTGCCAATTAGATAACCACGACCGGCTGATGATGTGACACAAGTCACTATATTCAAATCGGGCATTAGTAGTGCTCCAACGCACCAAAAAGTACGTCAACGTTGACTATATTGTGATTCCGGGTTCGTTAACTGGTGTGATGTGATCATTAGACCCGTAAGTACAGTAGATAATAAATCAAGGGAAGTGGCAGAGATCCTCCCGCGTTATAACAAAAGATCCGGCGCCGAACTATCCGTACATGCCGGCTTGGGGAGTTTAACACCTGGGTTTGCCCTCAGGAAGGCACCGCCCCAGTCGAGGAATCTCTAAGCTCCCGATTGGTGTCTCTATATACACTATGTGATCAAAAGTATTCGGACACGTCGAAAATGGTGATGTGGTGTGGCCGTGTTTTTCATGTAAGGGGCTTGAACCCCTTGTTGTTTGGTTTGGCTCTATAATAACACAGGCGTACGTTGATGTTTTAAAATACTTCATGCTTTCCACTGTCGAAGACCAATTGGGGGGTGGCGATTGCATCTTTCAACACGATCGAGCACCCGTTCATACTGCACGGCCTCTGGCGGAGTGGTTACTCGACAATAACATCCCTGTAATGGACAGGCCTGCACAGAGTACTGACTTGAATCCTATCTGTGGATGTTTTGGAACGCCGGCTTCGTGTGAGGCCTCACCGACCTACATCGCTACCTCTCTTCAGTTCAGCACTCCTTGAAGAATGGACTGCTATTCCCCAAAAAACCTTCCAGCATGTGATTGAAAGTATGCCTACGAGAGTGGACACTGTCATCAAGGCTAATAGTAAGCCAACATCCTACTGAATTCCAGCATTACCGATGGAGCGCGCCACGAACTGGTAAGTCATTTTCAGTTCATTTCATGTGTCCGGATACTTTTGATTACAAAGTGCATGTCGCTCTTCCGGAATACTGTTGTAACTCAAAATATATCACAGCAATAAGTTTCACAGAGAAAATGAAAACAACCTCTCCGACCCAAATACATACCAATGAGTCAACAAATCAACGTGCAGAATGATCAAAGATCGAAGGGTGCAAAATGATCTGACATGCTACGAGTATCAAGATAACGAATCATACGATTACACCATAAACCAATTTACCAATGTGTCTAACCAACGAAGCCAAATTTTTGAGTCGACAGAGAGAAAAAGCAACCTACCGGTGCAGGCAGGTGACGAGGCAATGTTTATCATAAAAAAGAATTTAAATCTAATTGGTCTGTTTTAGTCATTCAAACCTGTTAGGTAAAATCCATTTTGTTTGCAAATTTCCTGCTTCACTACGAGTTCGTTCTTGTGTTCCATCGCGTTTCTTGCATTCTAAAACAATGCTCTTAAATTTCAACTTTCTTTGTCCTCATAAAGGGCAATTCAAAAAATAAGTACAAAACGTCAGTTATTACGAAATGGTTCGGATAACAGTATGTGGTGTTGGTGAGTCAATAACAAACAGAGAGAGAGAGAGAGAGAGAGAGAGAGAGAAGGAGAAAGGAAGAGAGGGAGAGAGAGAGAACGAAAAATAAAAAATAAAATAGAAAGAAAGAAGGAAAGAAAGAAGGAAAGAAAGAAAGAAAGGAAAAGAAAGAAAGGAAAAAAAGAAAGAAAGGAAAAAAAGAAAGAAAAAAGAAAGAAAAAAGAAAGAAAGAAAAAGAAAGAAAGAAAAAAGAAAGAAAAAAGAAAGAAAGAAAAAAGAAAGATATTTTTTACTTCAAATGTTTTGGACGATTTCAGTGTTAAAAGCATTCGAGTATCCCCCGGCCACCAACACGCCAGAGCGGCGGCTGCCGGAGGCGCCAGCGACGCCCGGAGCGATGTGTGCCCTGCGGTGGCCGCGCGCTGCGCCGGCGGTGGGCGTCGAGGCGTCTTCCGCGTCCGGGCGCCACAAGAGAGCGGGCGAGGGCCGCAGAGGCCGGGAGGGAGGCCGCCCGCCTTGGGCGCGCTCGTTAGAGGGCTCGGCGTGCGCGGAGGAGGCGTGATCGGGGCCGCATCGATCTCCAGCGAGCGGGTGATGGATCGCGCCCATCCGCCGACTGCAGCGCCCCCTACGCCTCTGCCCCGCTCCTCTCCGCCGACGCCACCCTTCCGTCACCTTCCGAGAGGGCGACATGCAACTTAAACTGATTTTACTACCCGGTGCGAAAGCTTACACATATATACACTAGTATGTATCATGGGTCATTGTTATGGGTATTACTTGGTGTGTATATATATATATATATATATATATATATATATATATATATATATATTATATTATATATACATAACTTACTATATATTGTGACGTTATGGGGAAACGGTACTCTCACGACAAATAAATGATATAAAGGACGGGTACATTCTGCGAATGGGCGCTTTCAGGGGTGGTTGAACGCCTTGCAGTGAAGAATGATCGACGAAAACTCTTTTGTGCAATTAAAGGAAGTTAATGATTAAACACTATGTACAAAAAATTCTCTACAAATACGCACGTGCGCAAGCGCCTTTAATGATTCGTGCACGAGTAACGCTACCTTGAGGCTTTCGAGTCAACCGCCTGGCTGGAGGCGAGCGGGGCCGCCGTGCAACGCGCGCGCGTGTTCGGCAAAACTTTCGGTCCGCCCCGAAGTTTGTCGGGAATCGCTTCCCTTACGGCCGGCTCGACCTCGCAGCTCCCCGATGCAATGGCCAACGATCTCGCCGGGTACCACCACCCCAGCCAGTACAAGCAATATCACAGTTATACCAGCATGCACAACGCGCAATTGCTTGTTCCGTCGACAGTTCCGATCAGCAGTCAAGTCTATACTTCCGAACCCACTCGAATTTTCGCACGGTCGGCCCGCTACTGCATCAACACCCGGGCGACATTGGAAAACCGCGGGTCTTCGGCCACTCAAGTCCAATATTAATGTTTTCCACTTGATCCCGGTCCTGGTGCGCACTTCCATTTCTCCTACATCATCTGATGTCGAGTTTTTTATCACCTCTAATCTCCCCCCTTTAATGGTTTACAGTCCATCCACACTGTTTGTAATATCACATACCGAACTTGCTTGAGCAGCCACAGCCCTCCGTGTTGCGGCTCGCGCCCTCTGCCGAACTGCCCAAACGTCCACTCGCCTTCGCCCGTCTACATACCCCCGATTTTGACCGTTGGTGGCAGCGCCGGCCGTTACTACGCTGCATCGAGTTTTAGTGCTTCTTTTAATTAAAATTAGTAATCAATTTTGCTTGTTACTATGCAGAAACGTTCTTCGTTTCAATATATATATATATATATATATACATATATATAGAGAGAGAGACAGCCAGACAAAGACAGAGAGAGATACCATGTGTTGCACCACTTACAACAATAATATACAACATATTGAAGACAAGTGACATACGTTGTTTGTTTGTATAACAGAATTATAAACTTGGAAGGTACGTTTTTTAAGCAATTTTATAATGACGTCACAGGTGTTCAACATCTGTGCGAAAAAAGGTGGTTGGCTGTTCGGTTAACCTCCACCTCTACACGATCCGCTCGCTTCGATTGGCTGAATGTGTAATGACGTAATAATTCGAGCCATAAACGCAAAAACGCCATAATCGGTGTCATAATATGTCAATTTATGAACGATTTCTTGCAACGATAAATGTTTTTACTGTTAGTCATAGTCACTAGTAAAAGCGGTTCTTTCAGGGATCCGAACAATGCTGGTTCAAATGCTAGCACTAGTGTTACAAGTACTAGTGTTAAAATTTATATTTAAGTGCTCAGATAAATCAGTGAATGAA